ATAAGAAACTTGTAAATTCCGTAATTTATTCTTTCAAAGCTGGTCGCGATTTCGGAACGCGCGTCTATTTTCTACATGAATCACAGCTGTGATTTATTCATGGCAAAAATTTATGTACGGCAAATTGTCCGCAAGATCGGCCGTATGTGCATGACTCGGGCATAACGTTCCGTAATTCCGCGCGATATAATATACGTGCTGTCGCATCGGGGCGAGCAACACGATTGCGCTGCCATCCGTTCGGAATGAAACTATGGGAAGGAAGCGGAGGAAGAGAGACGGCAGTGGCCGACGGTATAGTGGTGTGGAAGAGAGGAGGAAGGAGGAAGAGGAAATGCATGGTGGATTCCCGTGTCCCAGGTGATCTCTCGCGTGCGTAAAGCCGCGGCCGAACGAACTGTGCGGGCGACGTTTCGCTTTTCGACTCGATGACTAACCAGGCCCGGTTAATTGACCAAACGTATTTACCGCGGGACAAAGCAACCACGACCGGAACCAGCGCGACATTGTTCACGAATTGCTCGCTCGCCATCAAACTGTGCGCGAGATCATTATCAATCTTGCTCGCCACGTTTAATCGAAAACGCAAACAAACCTAAACTTTTCCTCCTGCACTAAGAAAAAAACTGATTGTACGAACTAAATTTGTGTTTGATCCAATGGTTGATTCAACAATTCTTTAGTTGCACAAAGAAGGATATAGTTCATTTATGTCAACCATAAAAATTGTTTAATCAAGAATTAACTAGCCAACTTAATTAAATTATTGTGTCCGAAATACTAGTGATATTTATTTGTGTTTGCATACTATTTAATTATCCAATTAATATATTGTTCAAATTCCAAATATCAAACTGGCTAAACAATGCTGATGGGGATAATAAATAGTGTGTATTTTTAATCGAACGGTTGAGTTAAATACGATAAATTTTTGTTGAAACAAAATAGTTTAGTTAAAAAATAGAATTTTGTTTATAATAGTAACAAATTATTTTTTGTCATCATAGTAACGTTCAGTTGAATATATAGAACTAAATATTTTGATAAGATGAAACAAATTTTGCGTTTTTGAACCAATTTTTTATCTCAATGAGGAGAGAGGGATGGTGTTGTCACTAGAACGGCGTCAATTTAGAACTGTCTTTTCTAGAACCGTGCACGGAAAGAACGATTTTGCTGGAAGGTCTAAAAATTTTGCTAGATACAGATACAGAAAATATTTGGATTTTACTAAAAATAATTTTTGTTGGACCACCAGAATAATTTTGTTAGAAATTCAAACTGACTGCTAGAATGTCAAAATGTTTTACAGCAATGTTTAACATTTTCGAATTTCCAACAAAATTATTTTTAGATTAAAATTTTCTGACCTTTCAGTAAAATCATTCTTTCTGTAGATGGATTATTTATGACACTATTATTCTTTTGTGATTTTTTGGATAATAACTAAATACTGCATTTTTTATTAATACTAATTCAATCTACGCATAGTTATAGTCTCTCAACGAAAGTGGGAAAAAATCAATCTATCAAATGGATAAAAAAATGGCATAGTCGCGGTTTTAGTGTTAAACCTTGACGAAAGCGATATTACGCCTGAGTTTGCAATCGCGAAATAGACGTAACATTTTTATGATGAAATAAAGAACTTTTGATAACGTAATCGATTTCCTTTTGCCTTCTTTTTTTCCCAGCAAACCGATTTTTCTCTCAATTTGACGACGACATAATACCTCGTTCGTGATAAAAGGAGAAAAGTGTAATTTTTTCAGATTGCAATATTTTCAGCTTTGCGCTGATTTTATATATAGGTATATATATATATATATATACACACATTATATATCAGCGCAAAATTGAAAATATCGCATCTAATATATATAATAGCAGTATCCGTTTGACAAATTTTACTACGAAGCGAATTTAACGTTAGAGCAATTTCATTCTAATTTACAACGATACATCTCAGACGTATCGCTATTATAGATAGTAATGGCAACATCATTGTGAATACGAAGCGAAGCATTAATGTCACGAATAATCGCTGAGTAAGTCGAGACTAGAGATTATTTAGCCGTTATAAATATCGAGCTCTAATCAAATCCTCGCGAATAATAATGCATTTCTCGATACTCGCGCAAAGTGGCATATCGCATTCACGGAATTTCACGGGAAATGAACGAAAATCGCAACGTCGTGAAATCAAGAATCGGAGCTAAAATACACGCGAGTGGAATTAAACATAAAAAAAAATTATCAACGCGATCTGTACTAACGCGATGAATTAGAGCGGATTTATAAACATTACTCTTGCCGCATTCGTTGTACGCGCGCGATATCACGTCGATATACAAAGGTGCTTTGCATTTCGAGCCGCGGCCGAGCATGAAATCAATTATCGTCGTCGGGGAGACCCGACCTTTCTCCGATATTTATTTAGCATTAAAGCGCGATCGCGTCGTTATCCTCGCGCGGTGCCCGCGTTCTAACCGGTGGTCGTAAATCAGGGGAGGAAGCCTGGCCGCGGCGTCTCCGATGGTAATGAATCGGTGAGTCGCCCGACGGCGCGAACGCATTGTAGCCTCGAGTTTCCACGCACCGACGATGCGCCGTATGAATTTCAAGGGAATTAATGGCGCCGGATTATATCTCGTAATCGCGTATCTATCACACGGAGGACGTGCCCTCCCCGTGGACCAGCCCATTTCAAACAAAGGGGGGAACGACAACTCGCGCTACGTTCGACTATTAAAATGCAATTACCGATGAACCGTTTAGCTCTTATTACAAGCATGGATGGATCGATTGTCACAAAAGTGTTCTAAAAACAGGTCACTAAAAGGATTCTTAAAACAAGTGCACACAGGAATATTAGTGACATTTTGAGAAAGATAATTGCAGTATTTGAAATCTTATATTGACTATGAAATATATTTCGAGAGACAGAAAAAGAAAGAGAGAGAGAGAGAAGATATACATAAAAAGATATGACCTGAAAAGATTATTTGCGAATAAGTCGAAACGTGAAAATCAATAAATAAAATTATTTAATGTTGATATTTTTCGTGGATTCTATTTTCAAGTAAACTTTTTAATTACAACTAATTTATTTAATTACACAACCTAAAATTTTATTTCACATATATGCAATAGATTTATAAATTTAACTTTATATCTTGCAGACAATAGATTTATTTTGATTTAGAGAGTAGAATCAGGCATGGTAAGCAAAAAATCCGTCTCAAAAATTCAAAAATAACCGAAAAATACGCAAATATTTTCTCCGTTTCGAATGCCAGACGCATGATGAGACGATACATTTCAAACATAGAATTCAATTGGACGTAGAATGTGACGCGAGAGAATGCAATTAATAACTTCTAGGGAAAAGTTAATCTGACACGTCCCGAATTACCGACAATTATCCGTGAACAATGCAATAAACTGAATTGCGGTTGCTCGTAAATTGTGAGCAAAACAAAAAAAAATCGTTAAGAGTTTTATACGAGATAAGACATTTCTGTAGCCTGCTTATCCAATTACATCGCGTGATCATCAATTAGATCCACTAACCAGAAATTAAAATTTGAAGCGCAATATATAGCTTCACAGCGTCGTGATAAAATTATCATTTCTGAAATTATCATTTAGAAATTATTTGAAAATCTTCTACTTGATGGACTTCGTTAATTCGATTACGCAATAAATCGCATGTTATATACAAGATAAAACTGCCGTTTCTAAACTTATCGAATTGCATAAGTCGGTCTAAATACCTAGATTCTTTAAAATAAAGACTTTAAATAGATACGAATCGATCTGAGTTAAGCACTAAGTAATCTTATTCCTGAAGTTTTTATTACTATCTTATAGTCATACTATATCTACAAAAATAATATTTTTCTCTACTCTCATGCTACTATAAATATTGATAAATAATTAACGTTTATTATCGTTTCTCCTCTCGCGTTATTTTCCTCACGAGCAGAAGTTTATATAGGAGAGAGAGAGAGAGAGAGAGAGAGAGAGAAAGAAGGTAAAGCGTCTTATCTCTCAAGAGAGGAAATTCTTTTATTCAATCAGTAAGTAACCCTTCCCGTCTAGCGCACACCTCGCTATGAATTACAAGGGCTCCCCCCTTTCATGGAATTCACTCGTCGCCTCCGACGCGACGACGTCTCCTCTCCATTCATACGTGTCCAGAATCATTGACCGCGACCGTGACTACGTGACGGGATGGCGGCTGCCGCGCCTTCTCGACGCGCTGGGAAACAGGACAAAGGTATTACAGTAGAGGGGAGAGAACGCGGTTCAAGGAGAAATTCGGTTCTCCGGTAACGGGCGTGTACACACTTAGAATCTCGAAAGTGTTCCACGTGGCCCGCGAGGGGCTACTTCGCAGGAACGTAACGTTGCAATTTCGCGTTGTCACGAGCGTCGAGAACATTCAACGAAAGGATTAGTTACTCTAACGGACTCCTGCGCTTGCGGTTTCTCGACGCACCGCACCGACTTGAACGGCAAATAACATGTCGCCTTGACCTCTCGAAACGCGTTACATTACGTCACATTACTTGTTCACGAAGGGAAACAGAACAGCGCGGGAGGATTCCTGAGGGAATTCTCCTCCTACACGAAATGCCTGTACATTCGAAATTGTGTCTGGAGAAATATATGTCTCCATATTAAAGTCGATGTTTTCCAAGTTGTCGCTTTAAAATGCTAAACAACACGTGTCTCGTATAGTTTAAAGGCGCATAGTTTCAAAATAATTTTAAATATATAATTTAATTTATATTTTAAAATTAATATATAAATTATATGTAAAATAATACATATAATCCTGAATATCCTAATGCAGTACGATATTCTGTACGAAGGGGGAAAATGCTCGGCTCCTAATCATTATCATTACACGTATTGTAGTATACGTAGTGATAAATTGAAGTGCTTATCGACCGATTCGACACGGTCGTGTTAATTAAGAGTTAGGAACTCACGATGGCCTGTTGATCGACCCCGTTCGGTGGCGGAGGCGGACTGAAGCTGGCCGCGGTCGGCGCACCGGGGGCGGCGGGATGGGGTGCGCCCGCCGCAGGCGGCACCTGGGGCCCGCCAGTCGGGGGTGGTTGCTGGGGCGCACCGGCGTTCTCCTCCTTCACCGTCACTGGTGGCGGTGGCTTAACGTCACCGGCTGCACCGGCCGCCCCCACGACACCCGCGACCCCGTTTACCGGAGGAGGGAAGACACCCCCACCATAGGGCGCAGCCATCCCTGTCTGCACCATATGCTGAAAGAAAATACAATTTCTTGTGAGTTTCAATGTGATCAATCGTCGCAACATGAGTTTAAGAATAAGAGTAAATTAAGGGGCATTAATACCGATAAATTAATACCGATGTGAATTTAGTAACTTAAAAGCTTAGGATATTTTATATATAACTTCTTTTTCACAGGCTTGTGAGACAAATATAAATAATGTGATTTGATTAATTTACGTTTCTTATTATTATTTTTGTTAATAAATTACTAAATTAATTATATACAGATCAATATTAATGTAAGTTTCAAACTTCAAGATGAAAAATGGAAATTGATGGTTACTATAATTGAAACTTCCGAGTCTCTGAGAGTTAAATATTTACTAAATTCTATCTAGATTTACCTTATAAATTATTTTACATTACCATTTATCCAATAAAGATAAATTGACGAGATTTAAGGAGATTAGTTATCTTTTGATTAATATTATAATTTTTAATGAGATCAGTACGTTATTTATAATTTACAGTAAATTAAATATGAAGGCGAAATAGACGGCATCAGAAATACCTACACATTACTTATTAACTTTCACTAACATTCAAGCGCTCTCTCGTCTTTCATTCATAAGGAAGAAAAATATTTCTCCTATCACAAGTAGGTTCGGTTCAGTTTTTCTATGGTCTCTCCGAAATCGTTAGAGATGAAAGATAATGGCGAAAATGGCGTTGCCAATTTTTCGTGCGGTGGCGAACTATTCACCGTGACCGCAGGCAATCGTACTAGTAGAAAGATTTCTGGCAATGTTCCATTGGAATGTCGTGGCGAGCTACGATTGGTCGAATAATACCTCAGCGCGAACCCAGTTTCACGGTAAAGATGACATTTTTATCCAAAAAATATAAAAGAGTTTAATCCTCGTTCAAAGTTGAAAACTAGCATTCTCTTTTTTTACAAGATTTATTTACAAAATATTTTAGACAGAAAATACTTTCTCGGTGATTTTTATTAAATTGAGAATTTGGATTAACAATTTGCGTGTGTTAATTGAGAAAACTAGATACTTTTGAATATTTAAATTGCAATAGCAGATAATAAAATATTGTAATATCAAAAAATAAAATATTCAGTATCAGGTAATAAATATAAGAGTTGGATACAAATTAATATTTAGCATTGAATAATTCGCATGTTAAAAATATATTATATAAGAGATAAAATGATGATAAAAAACGCGGTTTATAAAGTTATATGCTGTAAAATATAAATTTATTACAAAATTACAATTTTTACGCTTTGAGAGCGTCATTTTTCTTAAAAGTTTATTAAAAATTAGTAAATTATGTAAAAATGATAGATGATTTTAGTTAAACGGCTTATAAAATGACATTCTTTTCGGCAGCTAAAGACATGCGAAAAATCAACAATGTTCGGAGACAGACTTTCTAGTTTCGCTGCGGGACCAGAAAGAGAGAGAGTTTAAGTAAAGAGAGACAATTTTATAGAACGTAAAAGGCGGAGAAGAATCCGCGGGACGGCAAACGATTTACTATGGACAGCAGAGGGTAACTATAATTTATGGTTCGCCCCCGGGCCGTGCCATCCACAATCTCGCGCGTGGCAGGTTACAGATGGTTTGTCCAGTTCTCCCTTCTCTCCAGATTATTTCTGAACGCCACCCCCTCGACCTCGGTGCGCCGCGCGAGAGCAAAGAGCCATTTGTTATTCCTACCTTGAACATTTTTCTGAAAACTCGATTTAGACCGGATTTCGCCGATACGGACCGCGCGCGCGCGCGAACGGAGATGAAGCTACGCGAGGAAGCGCTCCGTGCCCTTTGTTAAGTCTGAGAAATGAAGGTCTCGGTCTCAGCAATTACGAAAGATCCGACACCAACAAAGTGCTGCGATCCGAGCGATGGTTCCTCTCGCGTCTGATTACGATAGTAGCATCAGTCTGTGATAAATTAACAGCTGTCGTTTATATGAAAATGTCAGAAGCGATGGATGTGTAAGAATAGAAGTAGCGATTTATCATTTTACAATGCTTGGCTCCATTTAAAAACAATGAGGAACAATGCGTAATATGTCATAAATGCATAATATGTGTGCGGAACATTACGTCTCTCTTTTATTATAACTGATATTTTAATATTTAAAATGCATAATTATAATCCATGTCGATAATGTCAATATTGAGTTCGTACTCATATAAATCTAATTCCATTTAATTTAAATTTATATCGTAGATTTCATATATTTCTAGTATCTCAGAATGCCTTCTTCGAGAATATATTTTGCTAAGTTTGTCGCAATTTTATTTGCAGCTAAAACTGTACACGAAATATCCAATCGTCCTTTTAAATTTTCTAACACAAAGCCAATTTTATTGAATCAATTTTATTGTAGATTTAATTACGAACACTCGTACGGTAAATAGAATTCTAACAAAACCGCGAAAGAAACTGTTAGAACACGGTTTCGAAAGTCTGATCACGATTGGTGACATTAACAGGGAAAATCCAACGAACTCGATGAGCAGAAGAAGGGATGATCCGCGAAGTATATATACAAGTTGTTCATACAGGGGACAATCAATGAAAGGATACGCGGAAGCAGTGTATCTCACGTGTGAACGGATCTCTTTGGAAAAGCCTCGCGGCGAATGAGAACTGAAACTGAGTTTGAGAAGGCCGAGGAAAGTCGCCTCTGGCTCTACAACATCACATTCCCCTTCTACCGGCTTTCTATTCCGCGAGCGTAGCTTAATCAACGAAAGGGACAGGACGGATAAGAAAGAGGCGAGCGTGCACGCGCACGGAGAACGTGATCCCGAAACGACCTAATTTTCTCCCGCTGGCACGGGAAATATGTCTTCCTATTGGCTGGGAAAAGCCACGGGTGTTCTTCGTCCCGATCACGAAGATAGAGGATTCAGGGCAAGGATTAAAAACGCATTAATCTCGTCTGGTCGACGAGTACGGAAGAAATATGGACTCAACTTCCCCCGCCATAGCTGCAGCTCCGTTAATTGATTTATTTATTTTTTCTAATTTACACGGGGACGCGATCGCGGATAGGGGAGAATCCTGGCAAGAGTTTTGACTCCGTCAAACGTGTGTATGTTGTGTCGCAATAGCTACCGGAAGCTCGAATGCGGCACGTTAAAATTAAACTCGGGTCACGTCAAATCGAATCAAATTTAAGTCACGTTTATGCGGAGCTAGAAGAGGAATTCTCTCCCCGCCGCGAATGAAATGTCGCGTTAAAATTATCTGCGTTGACTACAGAATCACTATGTGACGGGACCAAATAATTTTTCAGAAATTCCCTTCCTCAAGTAACGCGGATACTTATCAATGCCGCAAGTGTCGCGGATATTGCGGAAAAAGAGGAGTTAACTTTGACGACTCAAAGGACAACTTGTATGCTGTACTCGCGGTATCTCTCCCGAGATAAAATTCTCGATCCCATTTTCGGCGGATGGCGCTCGTTCTCGCTCGGTCAACGACAGTCTAACAGTTCTTTGTCGTCTGCTGCTTCTTGTTCCCTTCCTTTTTTTTTTATGATCGTGAACGGGAGAGCGAGACTTCCCGCGTGCGCGCGCGCGGCAGTACATACAAGGGACCATTCAGAGCATGCTTCCCCTTCGACGTCAGCGGAGCGTGTCGCCACGGCTAGCTGGGCCTTACGGCGGATCGCGTGCGCGAGCCCCGAGGAGAGCGCAATGAAAAAAAATTTAATGACCCCACGTTAATTCGATCAGCTACCTCGGGCGTAGAGAACGACGAAATGCACGGCGCTCTCGTGCCGTTTATGCCCAGCGGTACGACGGGACGCGCACTCGCGTTACTTAATTGGATATTCAAGGCAAATGATTATTCCAACGGTTATGCGAACTGCCGATTCATCTCCTCGTTGAGTTCACACGATTAATGTGACGATCGTTAAGGCTAATATAATCCTCTACTGCTTTGAGCCAAACTAAATTTGAATTATAATATTTGATATCTCTGCGAGGAATTTTTATAAAAATTATTTCAATTTCAAATATTACATGCATAATATATTAATCGGACATTATGTTCTAAATTTGTACATTTTAATTTTTCTTAGCTTTTAGAAATGTAAGAAATTGTCAAAATACATATAACGCAGAATTTGAGGGAGTCAAATAATACTTCAAAAATAATTTAGCTCTCTATAGATACATATATTTAATCGAAGGCGTAAAAATAGAATTGAAAATAAATAAGATCGTATTACTCGGCACAGTTTGCCCTTTGATTTTCTGGACTTTGTACACCGCAGGATTGGCAAGGATGATCGTTACAGCCTGGAGTACTCGCGCGAATCACTTGCTGTGCATGTTGCATCTCGTGTTACGAAGAGCTAAGCCAGTACGGGCTACGAAATCCGAGTTATCTCAACGTATCGGCCTCTCCGCTTCAGATCGATTCATGCGAGAGGGAGAGAGAGAGAAAAAAAGAGAATACTATATCAGACCAACGACCTATTTTGAGAGTGCCATCGACCAAACAAAATGGCACTTTTCGCATGCACAGTGCCTGTCTTATCGACTAAAATTGGGGGGTTGGAAGAGGCGGATAACCGGCAAACCAGGGAACTGGCTTGTCGATCTGCATGGAGAATCAACGTTATCGGAATTGGCAGTAGAAAAAGCGGACGCGATAGCTATGAGAGGATGCTGTTTCGCACGAGTCCGCGAGGAGATGCGCGAATCGAGATGGATTGCATAAACGCCAAACGTTTCGTCCTCACGCCCAAAGTCTCACGCGTGCGTTTCGCACAGCGCAAATTTCTCAATTAACTGTAACGAAGGTACGACAAATGCGGGCGGGTGTTATGAGAAAGGACTGAATTAAAACTCTTAATGAATAAAGAATGAATTAACCTAATTAAAAAAAAATACATAATTGCGCTATGGTAACGCGAAACTCTGCATTTTAAATTTAATTCGCGCGAAACCGCTGCTTTGCGAATGAAGCCATTTTCGCGTGATATCAAATATGGAAATGACGCTATTGCAACTTTACAGAATAGCTACAAAATAATGGATACGTCTGTAATTCCGCGCTGCATTCGAGGTAATGGCGTGGGTCGGGAAGCCAGCTTATTTGCGCATTGCTATTCGTAGTTGTATCAGGACGCATCGCGCCGCGTTTGAAATGCAAAAGCGGGCATCGCGATGCTGTGCCAACGACGCCCGTTACGGGAAAAAAAAAAATTCAAGAAAGACGGGGTATCCCCCACGGCGGAGAAAGGAACAATGCCATTTCTCAGAAATACGCACACCATCCTCCATCGAATATTATCGTATATGAATGAAAGTTAAACCAAGATAAATGCAATTTTGATCAACGTAAATTTACATCAAATTTCGTTGTGAAGAAATAAAACCAAAAGGAAAACAAATTATGAGATAATGCATTTCAATTTATAACAGCTTTTTTCCAAAAAGAAGCACACGTGTTTAAAAGAGAACTGATAAAACGAGAATCAAAGGTCGTGCTGTCTCACGCTGACTTGCGTAAACGCATCTGAAATACTTTCTATCTATAGACTGTTTTAACTTTCCCTCGCATTTGCCTAACAATAAGCTTGAACGAATGGTGACTCCGTAGATTTTCTTCCCCTACTTATTATTTAGTATTATAATTCGAACTACAATTTATAGAAAAAAAAAAGCTTACAAACGTAATAAAATAATTCAGACGCAATATAACTAAAGGATGAAAAAAATCCAAGATTTAATTAAAAGTTCATAAACAGCATAACGAATGCCGCGAGCGCAGAAATCTGCGAAGGTACATCGCATAGACTTTCATGAAGATGTTACTCACTGCTGCTTCACGGTGCTTTTCCGTGGAGCGCGGCGCAACTGCCATTACGTCATATCCAGAAAGCGAGCAATAATTTCAGTGGCAGGCACACGCACGTAAACGTGCACACAAACGCGCACGCTGCACGAGGGGAGCGCTCGTAATTTAACCATCGGGTTTTCATCTCGAGTACTCTCACGAGTGTGTGTCGACACGGGGGCGACTTTAAGCTTCCGCGACAGAGGTTTGCCCTTGAGTATTTAGGATCTGTGAAACGCTCGCGCCGGCGATGCGCGCGGCCACCCTTCCTCGTCCTTTCGATGTTTTGACGCCAGCAAAGCGAACGGAGCCGCCAAGAATAAACCTGAAATCAATAACGAACACGCGGCCCGACCGAGAGAGAAAGAGTGAGAGAGGGAGCGAGAGAAAGAGAGACAAAGAGCGAGGCAGAAGCGAGAATAGAACGAGACGAAGAGAAAGCGGATAATGGCGGGAGGTTTTCCGACTGGTCGAGCTTTAAAGCACATCCGGCATATCCTTCTCTCCATGCGCTTCACTTTGTCAGTAGATTTTTCGTCCTATGATTGCCGAAGTATCGCGCTTCGATCCGTTGTCTGACGAGGATAGGAGTCTACAGAGAAGACCATACATCTTTATTACGTAGCGCTTCCCGGAATTGACAAGCGGGTTTAAAGAATATTGACGGAAATCGTAAAAATGTTTTATGATGCGTTTTATTTAGTTTCTGCGATATCGTGTTCTGCACCGTACGTTGTGCTTTATACGGAAAAACGATAGAATTACTATTTTCATTATATGTGACGGTTGACTGCAGTTCCTAGTGATATTATAAGAGATCAATCTTTTTATAATTTAAACTGTAATTAAAAATTTGAAAATTAGGCAGCTGGGATACCTATTTTATCCCAATCAAAATTTAAAAGCTGAATGTGGTACGGAAAGCCAACAGTGTCAATTAATCACTGCTATACACATACCGTATATTAAGGAAAATTAATCTTGTTCGCGTTAAGACTTTGAAATCAAAAGCACTATTGTTTAAAAAAATTTCAAAGTGCGAAGCCGTCGCGAGTAGAAGAAAGAACTGGAAATATATTTTGATTCGTGACGAAATCGTGACGATCCCGCCCCGCCAGCCAATCGGTCGTAACAACGACGCGGCGGCCGAGAGTGCGATCGCCTCCATTCTCATTTCTATATGTGCCTCCTTCTCGCACGATCGCTCTCTTCCTCATTCCCCTCGCGCTCGCCGAGTTAAATACTCTAATTCACGTTAATGGATGGCCCGTTGCCAGTGGATCGTTTCTAAAGAGTCTCTTCCCGGTCAGGACGGACGCGCCGTTCAGCGGTGCGCGCGTTCACACCACTCGGAGGGGCAAGGGGGGGGGGGCACTCGCGGGTGCCCCATGTGCAACAAAGCGCCGTCAATAACGCGGGCCCTGTCCTTCCGAGATCGGCATCTAGCCGCCCGAAGGAAATCGCCCATTTGATGGGAGTGCCTAGCGTGGCATTGCCAATCTTATAACAGGCGGCTAGTAGTCAATATACAATACATGCGCAGCGGACGGGGCATAAAAGTCGCTAAGGTCTACGTGGTAATTACATCCGCCATCGATCGTCGACATCGATCGGCTCTTCCGTCACGTAACGAGACGTTACGTAAGCAGGCTATCGCGTGTGTCTCTCTTTTGGCACAGCAAATCCATTCGTTTAACTCTATAAACGTCTCTCGTTGCGATTATCTTCGGAAACCGGTATACGGGAACCGGTACATCTCCGGATAATGATTTACCTCGCGATAAAAGCGTCCTCGGTTAATTGTATTAATTACTTATCGCGGGGATAGGTTAGATAAACGGGCTAGATTATCCCTCGCCGAAACGCGAGCGCGGCGCGTTTCGATCAAAAAAATTCTGCACGTTATTTGACCGCGTCAGATCGCGCCGCTCATGTTCACGAACTTACGCCTGCTGCATATTCTCGTTGATCTTTATCTCGGCACGGCAGCGGCATTATAACGATAAGGAACCCATCTGTGAATCAGAGCGAACCGATCTACGTTACGTGATAACGATCGGCAAGCGTCCCGCCCCGGCGAAACGTCACGGTCGAATGATCACAGAGAGCACTCGTGTTTACCTGTCCACCGAATGACGATTTCAAAGGGGAATTCAGTCCATTTTGTCAGAACACCGAACCGCGCGCACTGACCTTCGGCTATCTATCTCCGCACGTAAATTTTCGCACGCACGTAGAAGCTTGATAGCGGCCGCGCGCTGCCGCTTCCTTTCCGCAAAGCGCCCGCTATTTTCATCGAAAAATACACAGCCCGGGAAATTAAAGCGGTTCGCGAGAATTTGGCGTGCGCTCCACCGGGCCGGGAGATTTTATCCGTCGAAAAAAAAAAAGAAAAAAAATTCTGCAGGAATGTACGACGTTACGTGCGATAAATGTGCTCTATGCTTACAACATTTAACGATCGCTAAACTGTGTTTATCTACATGCGTATATCCGAGATTCCGGGAGAAATTTTATGCGCCATCGGGCTTTTTAGTGGCTATAAAAACGTTTCTAAATTGCAATGTTATCCTTTGTGTATATGTGTGTGGCGCGATTTTATTCTTAACATTTTATTTCTCCGGGTAATTTAATTTCTATTTCTTTCTTCATTCCATAATCTTTTACACCATAAAATGTATTTACCATGAACGTTGTATAAATATTCATAGTAAAGTTTTAAAAATCCAAATAAAAGTACAAAATTTTACGATGGTGCAAAATTTTTTAGTATCTCCTTATGTCACTTGATATTCCCTCCACATGTACCGTCGTATTTATGCTCCCGAACTCCCGCACAATAAACGAGATATTTTTAATCTTGATA